TCCTTTAAAAAAGTAATTAAGGTAAAATGATATCATATGTGTGGGCCCTAATCCAGTATGATGTCCTTATGAGAAATTTGGACACAAACAGGCATAAAGGGGTGACCATATGGGGACACAGCAAGAAGGTGGCTATCTACAATCCAGGAAGGAATCATATCTGCCCACACCTTGATCTCAGACTTTGAGCCTCTGGAACTGTAAGAGAAGACATTTCTGTTGTTTACCATCACCATTGGGATGCTTTATTATGAGAGCCCCAGAAAACTAATATGTCCTCCAACTACCCAAGGTTGTCATGTAGACAAAATAGGACACCAAGCAAAAGCACTTACGGTCTTATTACTTATTGGGACAACCAGTGTAACCCTGGCCACACCAAGAAATAACCAGAGTGGTCCCAGAGACAGAAAGGTCCCAGACTCCAGTTCCCACCTTCACATAGGCCTAGAGAGCTGTGGGTAGAACCATGTTGAGCCCTGCTAACATGTAAGTCCCTCTAGGGGAGGCCCTCATGGACCCCGATGTTAAGTGCACTAGTTCCTTCTACCAGCCCTTAGGAATCCACAAGAATTTTTTTTTTTAATGATCACCACTTGCCCAGCAGGACTTATTATTCTGGAGTTGTTACTCCTAGAAGTTACTAAAGCTTTTAAAGTCTGTCTTGAAACTTGGAGCTGATGCCTCAGATAGACCCACAGATTTGTTCCTGGTACCATGATTCTCTTACTACCCAATGCCTCTCAGGCAACTAGACCAGCAGATAGTTCTCATTCTGATTCTGAGGAATTCCACTTAGGGTATATACAACTCACATCAGTAAGGGCTTAATCATCCTTACCTGGAGACCCAGTTCTATAAAATGCCACATTCAAAAGAAATAATCCCACTGCCAATGCCTTGAAAAGTTCTGAAAGTCATTGAATAGATGGAAAGGAGAGGGAGCAGGGGAAATTCTCTTGTCGTCTTTGTTCAGTGTAGTCCTATACCAGAGGAAGTTGTCTAGGAGTTCCTAACCCTTCTCCTACTTTCCAGAGCTTTTCTTCTGTACATAGCTCTCTTTCCTCTCTAATAAAGATGGTGATGTGGTTTGGCTGTGTCCCCACCCAAATCTCATCTTGAATGATAGCTCCCATAATTCCCACTTGTTGTGGGAGAGACCCAATGGGAGATAATTGAATCACATGGGTGGTTTCCCCAATGCTGTTCTCGTGGTAGTGAATGAGTCTCATGAGATCCGATAGTTTTATAAGGGGTTTCCTCTTTTGCCTGGTTCTCATTTCTCTTGCCTGCTACCATGTAAAATGTCCCTTTGCTCTTCCTTCATCTTCCACCATGATTGTGAGGCCTCCCAGGCCATGTGGAACTGTGAATCCATTAAACCTCTTTTTCTTTATAAATAACCCAGTCTTGGGTACATCTTTGTTAGTTAGCAGCATGAGGACAAACTAATACAACTAGTCTCCCCTTCTATTCTCCTTCCTTTTGTTCATTTACACCATTCCCCCTGATGAAGGCAAGGGACCCAAAGCCCAGTAGACAAGCAAACAAAACTACTCTTTAAGTGAGGGGGGGAAGGCTGTGATCAAACATCCCAGAGTATCTGTGAGGGTATTTCAGAGTGAGATTAACATTTGACTCAGCAGACCAAGTAAGGCAGATTGTCCTCCCTACTGTGGGTGGCTTCTGGACTGCAACTTAAACCATTGGCTCTCCTGGTTTTCAGGCCTTTGGACTCAAGCTGCAACCCTCCCATTGGCTCTCCTGAATCTCCAACTTGCTCACTGCAGATCTTGGTACTTCTCAGCTTCCATAAATGCATGAGCCAATTTCTTGCAATAAATACATAATCTCCTATTGGTTCTTTTTCTCTGGAGACCACCAATGCAGATTTTGGCACCAACAGTGGGATGTTGCTATAAGAAATACCTAACAATCTAGAAGTGGCTTGATAGGAAACGGAAGAGTTTTAAGGTTTATACTAGAAAAAGCCTAGATTGCCATAAAGAGACTGTTGGTAGGAATATGGATGTTAAAGATAATTCTGGTAAGCATTCAGAAAGAAAAGAAAGCTGGAGAGAAGCATTCATCTTCTTAGAGAACACATAGATAATCATGAACAGAATGTTGGCAGGAATAAGGCTGAGGCACAAGAATCACTTGAACCTGGGAGGCGGAGGTTGCAGTTAACCGTGATTGTGCCATTGCACTCCAGCCTGGGTGACAGAGTGATACTCCATCTCAAAAAAAAAAAAAAAAAAAAAGTGATCCTGCTATACAGTGGCAAACAACGTGGCTGAATTACATTCTAGTGCTTTTGGGAAGGTAGAACTTGCAAGTGATAAAATTAAATATTTAGCAGAAGCAATTTCTAAACAAAGTATTAAAGGTGAGCTGTGGGTCCTCCTTACTGCTTATAGTAAAATTCAGGAGATGTGAGATGAACTGAAGAAGAAATGGAAAGCAAAAAGGAATCAGAGACCAGGCGCAGTGGATCACACCTGTAATCCCAGCACTTTGAGAGGCTGAGGTAGGCAGATCACTTGAGGCCAGAAGTTCAAGACCAGCATGGCTGACATGAGACCCTTTCTGTACTAAAAATACAAAAATTAGCGGGGCATGGTGGTGCATGCCTATAATCCCAGCTATTTGGGAGGCTGAGACATGAGAATTGCTTGAACTCAAGAGGGAGGTTGCAGAGAGCCAAGATTGTGCCACCATACTCCAGCCTGGGTGATAGAAATTCTGTCTTAAAAAAAGAAAAAAAAGGCTTGGCATGGTGGCTTACACCTATAATCCTAGCACTTTGGGAGGCTGAGGAGGGTGGATCACAAGGTCAGGAATTTGAGACCAGTCTGGCCAATATAGTGAAACCCCATCCCTACTAAAAATATGAAAAATTAGCCAGGTGTGATGGTGTGTGCCTGTAATCACAGCTACTTGGGAGGCTGAGGCAAGAGAATTGAGTGAGCCCGGCAGGCGGAGGTTGCAGTGAGCGAAGATTGTGCCATTGCGGTTCAGCATGGGCAACAGTGCGAGACTCCATCTCAAAAGAGAAAAAAAAAAAGGCCCGGTATGGTGGCTCATGCCTGTAATTCCAGCACTTTGGGAGGCCTAGGCAGGCGGATCATGAGGTCAAGAGATCAAGACCATCCTGGCTAAATATGATGAAACCCGGTCTCTACTAAAAATACAAAAAATTAGCCAGGCATTGGGAGACTGAGGCAGAAGAATTGCTTGAACCTAGGAGGTGGAGGTTGCGGTGAGCTGAGATCACGCCACTCCATTCCAGCCTGGGCAACAGAGTGAGATTCTGTCTCAAGAAAAAAAAAAAAAAAAACAGAAAAAAGGAACCAGAACTTGAGGACTTGGAAAAATTTCTTAATTAATCTATCCATATTACAAAAATGGAGAAAGCATACTCTGAAGAGAACACTAAGGGTGTGGCTGAGCAACCATTTCATAAACTGATCATGAGTGTGACTCATATACTTAATTACCCATCTCGGCTGAAGCCTGGAAAACAGATGGGATTATACCAAAAGACTGACAGTTGGAAAGAAAGGGGACGGAGAAAGTGAAAAAGAACAAAAGCGGGCGGTCAGCCTTCTCAGATTGTATAGGACTAGACCATATCACTATTCGGCTGCAAACATGCACTCTTATTTAAGCAAAGAAAAGAAATGACTTCAATTATAATTCAGAGATCAGGGCTACCACTCAGTGTGGGAGCAAGAGGGTGAGTAGGACGAGAGTCGAGTTCCTCCTCAGTTTCCAAAGGCAGGTCACCCTTCCACACCACAAGGATGACACTGCATCGAAGCAGAGAGGATTTATTCTTCAGGCTTAAGATATAATAAAATTTGCCGCAATAGGTTTTGGACTTGCTTAGGACCCATCAACCCTTTGTTTTCTATTTTTCATTTTTGTAATAGGAATGTCAATCCTACATGTCTCACCGTTGTGTTTGGGATGCATATAACTTGTCTGGTTTCAGAGGTTCACAGCTGGAGAAAGAGAGGAATCATAGCTTAAGTCTCACCTGTAGCTGATTTAGATGCTATTTACATGAGACTTTGTACTTTATTGTGAGAATGAATTTAGATTCTGGGGGCTGTTGGGGTGGAATGCATATATTTTGCATGTGATAAGAAAATGAATTTGGGGGAAAGGCTAGGGGCAGAATGCTATGAGAGCCTAACCCCCCAATGAGGCTATATTTAGAGATAGGGTCTTTAGGAGGTGTTAAGGTTACATAAGAGTGGAGCTCTAATCCAATAGGATTGGTGCCCTTATAACAAGGGGAACCGAAGTTACCTATCTCTCTGCTATATGAGGATACAGTGACAAGGCAGCCATCTGCAAGCCAGGAAGAGAGCCCTTATCAGAAACCAAATAATGCCAGACCATAATCTTGGACTTTCCAGCCTATAGAACTATGAGAAATAAATTTCTGTTGTTAAGCCACCCAGTCTATGGTATTTGTTATGGCAGCCTGAGCTAATTATACTTTCTATGCCTTGGTTTTCCCATCTGTGAAACAGGGATAATTATGCCTTCATCTTAGGCTTATTGTAAGAATCAGTTAACACATGGAAAGCATAGAGAACAGAATCCAGCATATAATAAGTACTATGTCTTTGTGAGCAACTGTTATAAAAAAGTCTTTGTGCTCAAGGTGCTTGGCTGTCTACCTTGCACAAAAGGTACCATTTGGCCGTAGCTGGGTATTTAGAAACCCTTGAAAATTCTCACTCCCATTGGCCAATTATTACAACTCTTCTAGCTTAAGTCTGCTTTTCTATTAAGGTTAATTTCTCTGGGAAGGGTGACAGTCACTTATTTCTCAAAGCAATGAAAAAAAAGCATGGACTGAAAGATATTAGATGTAGGTCCGCAGAGGATGATGATGAGTTGGAATCAAAGGCTGAAGCCCCTGAAGCCTATTTCTTGGAAACATGAAGTTAAGGAGAAAATAGAGTGGCATAAACTTGAGACAGGCAAGGCTATTTAAAAGGCTAATTGTTAAACTGAATTCTTGCAAAATTTCTTTTTTAAAAAAGAGATTCCAAAACTTTCAAGACTGCATTTATTTGTCTTTAGAAGGTAACCCTGGGCCTTTTCATTTTTCATACTGGTGGAAGTCTGAAACAGAGAAGAAATTCCATTATAAATAGTTTAAAATAAGAAAAATTTACAAAAATAAGAAAATATGCAAAAAATTAATTTCATTGGTAATCAAAGATGTTTAAAGATACCAATGTATTACCATTAAGACTCCATCTTTTAATAGCTCTCATGTTAAGAATATGATGGAATTAGCACTCTTCTTATACAGTCGGTGGCGTTACAAAGTGGCACGATGCATCAAGCTATAGAATGACCTACCTGTGACTCAGCAGTTCTACTTCTGGGAATCTATCCTGCAAAAACAATACAAAATACAGAAAGGGCTAACACATCAGTTATTTGTCAGGTTTATGAGAACAAAAAACTGAGAACATGGTGGCCAACAATAAGAAAATCGTTGCACCTAATGGGTCATGTAAACATGCCAGTGATAGAAAAATCAAGAACAGGTACACAATGTTATGTACCCAATGATAATTTTTTATTTTTATTGCTAAGGAAAAGAAACTGGAAGGATTTTAATGTATTTCCATCAGTGGCTTTACTAGCGTGGCAAGATCATTTTGTCTCTGCTCAATTTTCTGAAGTCCTCGACTTGAAGAAAAAACAAACCCATGACTGAAAAATAAAGGCATTCAAGTCATGGTCAGGCATTTTGGATACTGAAACCCAGTAAGTATATCACTGCAGATGGTAAAGCACTGCAATCAAATGCTCTAACTTAGCCTTAAACAGTTATCTATTTTTTCTTTTTCTTTTTTTTTGGAGAGAAGGAAAGAAAAAAAAGGAGTGGAGAGGAAGAAAGAGGAAGAAAAAGAGGGAGAGAGAACGGAAATGTTGCTTTATTCAAAAAATGGGTATTAATAATGGCCGATCAACCTTCATTTAAACCTATGAGTAGGTGTGATGTGGTATTGACAAGAATGCATATTTTGTATATTTGAAGTGGAGAGCTCTATAAATATTTATTAAGTTTACTTGTTCCGGATGTGAGTTCAAGTCCTGGATATCCTTATTAATTTTCTGTCTCGTTGAGTCTAAGTCTCTTTATAGGTCTTACGTAGCTGGGTGTTAGGATTGTTGACTCTTATTATTGCATTGATTCTTTTACCACTATATCTTTGTTGCTTTAAAATCTATTTTATCAGATGCAAGAATTGCAACTCCTGCTTTTTATTTATTTTTGCTCTCCATTTGGTTGGTAAATCTTTCTCCATCCCTTTGTTTTGAGTCTTTGTGTATCCTTGCATGTGAAATGGGTCTGGATGTAGCATACCACTGGGTTTTGGCTGTATCTTTTGATTGGGGGATTTGGTCGATTTAAATTTAGGATTACTGCCATTTAATGTTAACTGGCTGTTTTATCCATTCATTGATGTAAATTCTTTATGTTGATGCTCTTTACTTTTTGGTATATTTTTAGAAAGGCTAATACTGGTTGTTTCTTTCTATGTGTAATGCTTCTTTCAGAAGCTCTTGTAAAGCAGGCCTGGTGGTAATAAAATCTCTGAGTACTTGCTTGTTCATAAAAGATTTTATTTTTCCTTCAGTTGTGAAGCTTAGTTTGGCTGGATATGAAATTCTGGGCTGAAAGTTCTGTTCTTTAAGGATATTGAATATTGGCCCCCACTCTCTTCTGGCTTGTAGGGTTTCTGCTGAGAGATCTGCTGTAAGTCTGATAGGCTTCCCTTTGTGGATAACCTGACCTTTCTCTCTGGCTGCCCTTAGTATTTTCTCCTTCGTTTCAACCCTGGTGAATCTAACAATTATGTGCTTTGGGGTTGCTCTTCTTAAAGAATATCTTTGTGGTGTTCTCTGTATTACCTGGAGTTGAGTATTGTCCTGCTTTGCTAGGTTGGGAAAGTTTTCCTGAATAATATCCTGAAGAATATTTTCCAGCTTGGATTCATTCTCTCCATCTCATTCAGGTACACCTATCAAATGTAGATTAGGTCTTTTCACATAGTCCCATATTTCTTGGAGACTTTGCTCATTCCTTTTTATCCTTTTTTCTCTATTCTTGTCTTCTCATTTTATTTCATTAAGTTGGTCTTCGACCTCTGATATCCTTTCTTCTGCTTGATCAATTCGAGTGTTTAAACCTGTGCATACTTCTCAGAGTTCCTATATTGTATTCTTCAGTTCCATAAATTCACTTATATTCCTCTCTAAATTGTCTATTCTCATTAGGATTTCATCAACCCTTTTTTCAAAGTTCTTAGTTTCTTTACATTGGGCTACAACATGTTTTTAACTCACAGAAGTTTCTTATTATCCACCTTCTGAAGCCTGATTCTGTTAATGGAATTCACTCGTTCTCCATCAAGCCTTGTTCCCTTGATGAGGAACTGTGATCCTCTTTAGAGGGCGAGGCATTCTGATTTTGAGTATTCTCAGCCTTTTTATGCTGGTTTCTTCCCATGATTGTAAATTTATCCACCTGTCGTCTTTGTAATTACCAACTTTCAAATTAGGTCTCTGAGTGGATGTCCAAGTTGTTAATTCCCAGGGCCGAAATCTGAGCAACCCACTGCGCCAGTCAAAACAGCGGCGTTAAGACTGATGGTGCTTTTCTGCCCAGGAATCTCCAGTCTGGCTTCCCTCCTGAGTCCGTAATAGGCGACTCTGCCTTCCCGGAGATCTAAACATCAGTCAGAAGGGGAACCAGTCCTGTTTACTTTGCACCAAGAGCTGCTGTGCCGAGGTGCCAGCAAAACCGCTGCGCCGGCCACAAGAGTCACGCTGGCGACCCGTGGGGCTCCTCCACTGGGAATCTTCTGGTCCGTGAGCGACAAAAATATGTCTGAAAGTGTGGCGTCCTCTCGTTCTCTGCGCTTTCACTGGGAGCTGCAATCCCGAGATGTTAGCGATCAGCCATCTTGGATCGTTCTCCCATTTATCTATTTCTAATCCATACTCCTCCAAGGTGGCGGCTAAAAAAGGACTTGACACTATCACCCCATCCTCCCAACCCCAACACTTCATTGACTTGCAGATAGATACTTCTGTTCCTTAGTTCCCTCACATGTAAAATAGATGTAATTGTTTGTATAGCACAGGGTAGTCATAAAAATTAAATGGGATAATATGTATACACTGCCAGGAACACTCTGACACAAAATATGTATGAGTAACTTTTTTTTCTAATCTTGATGGAGTCTTTCCATTATACATGTGATCAAGCTTGTTTTCTTTTTATAGTTCAGACCTGGCTTTAGAAGTTTTATTTTTTAAATACATTTTAATTTTTTAGATATTTAGTATGTTTTATACTTAAGAGACAGTCATATACATTTACTTGAAGGATTAAAGGATGACGATATCCTGCCTATAGTATGGTGCATTTTAGAATGTTTGTTTTAGTTTGTTTTTAAGAGTTAGCTGGAAAATTTCAGAAATGTGATATTTAAGTATGAGAATAGGAAAACTTGCCAAGGTTTATAAATTCACAGCTCATTAAAAATTGGCTGTTGGTCTCATCTAAGCCAAAGAGTTTAAGGTCCAAGAAGAGGGTAGTCTGAAGAATAGAAACCCAGTTTGCTGCTTAATGTCTTTAAGAAGGCAGGCACACTCCAGTTGTTGGCAGTGTGGCTGCAGAATTTGACATATTTTCCAATGTACATTCCTCCACCCACTGAGCCAGGCTTGGTGAAGAAGATGGGAGTAAACAGAAGTCCTTGTTCACTCAGCTTTAGAGTTCAGTCTTCATGCCTACAATAGTCTGAAAAGCAAGGCTCACCTTTCCAAGTCCCAGAGAACCACAAGCATAGGCACTATCACAGCACTAGCCCTTAAGTCCCCAAAGTTTAGAGAGCACAGTAAAATCCCAGAGCTATAAATGCAGTCACTGGAGCAGCATTCCTCTGAGCTACTGTGCCCTTAGTCCAGGGAGCAAAACCCAACACCTTACCAGATGAGATATGCTACCGTGATCCAATAAGGAGTGGGGACAACTGGGACAAACCAGACAGCACCCACCCTATTAAAAGGGAAACAACTCTGTGAAATACTGGGCTAACCTCATCAGAATATGCCCCATAGGCTCTCAGTGAACCCTGGGGCAGAAGACTGTGAGACCCCTCACTTACTGTGGTAGAATTCTTACAATTGCATAGAGCCATGACCTAGGGGAAATGTGAGATGGAAGACAGAAGAGGCTTGGGACTTTCCCAAGGTGCTAATGAATTCATCCCAACTAGCCAGACCATCTCATTTCAGAACTTAAACTGCTATAGGAAGAAATGTCCCCAGTGACTAATTTCACAGATTACCACAACTTGTAACAGGGGTGGTAGGAGTCACCCATTCACACAGACTTTCTCTCACTAACTCTTTCAAGGAATATTCATGACATGCCAAAGTTTGGAAGTATACAATGGCAGCATACTCAGACCCCTGTAGCAGACACTTATGTCTCTCCATATGTCCTTTTCCAAAGGCCCTCAAACTCCAGCACTCTTGGCATCTCACTCCAAAATTGAGGGTGGTCTTTGTCTAGAGACATGGTCTCTACAGTGTCACGGGCAACTCTGAACAAAATTTTGAGCTGTCATGGTATGAAATGCTTGAGCCATAACCACAGGTGACAAATGGAAGGAATAAACAATGGCAAGACAACAAACACCCCCCATCCAGCAATGCCAACCCCAATATGGCAAAAACTTACTATGTGGAAGCTCCAATTTTAAACAACCTTTCCTGGACCTTGAAATTAATTTTTCTCCCTACCAACACCATATGCTGTGGCTTCACATGGCTCATGGCCCTCTCCATCCACATGAATACTTGCTAATTCATTCACTGAGTGAACCTGCTCTGGCCCCAGAAGTTAATCTCCATCCCTGTCATCAGCAGATTCTCGTGTACTTCATTCAGGACTTTGCCTTCCAGGAATGTTGTTGATCTTGCACAGTCTGCTCTGACCCCATCTCCAAATCCCTCAAAATGCCCATCCCTGTCACCATCAGGATTTCACTCCCTAGGTCCTCATCAAGGGCAAGGAAAAGGGTGCCACTCCTACAAACTGAAGCTGGAGAGGGCCTGCCTCCCAAATCTTCAGCTCCTCTGCATATGAGAATTTCTGTCCAATGAACCATATTAACTGTCACTAGATCTCCAGTCTGATCAGGATCCTGAAACCTTATGGAGTCATCCCTTCAGGAAAGCTGGGTTGAACTTTTTATTAGGATTCTTTTGGATTCTCATGAAAATAAGGGTCAGCCTGAGCATCACTTCCTTGAACCCTTTTTATCTTGGGCCCATCATGATTCCCAATTGTAAAATGCAAGCTTTTAATAAAGTTAATAAAGCTGATATTGAATAATTGCTCAACTCATGTATAATTAAAGATCTCAGAGACAAATGTTCACAAAGAGAAGACTAGCCAGAAAGATGGCTGCACAGTAGGTACTTCAAAGAAAAAGTGAGTTCCCTTTCTCTCTCCTAAACAATTCAGTACTAATGTCATTAGTTGGGTCACAGTTAGGTAGTGAGAAGCCATAGTGACCCAAAGTGAGGTGGTATCAGAGCCCAAGTGGAATGAGATGGCACCCACATATAAAGGCAGCCCAGCATAGGATATCAGAGACCCAGCAGATGAGGGGCATGTTCACACAGGGGAGGTGGTACAGTGCAAAAGTGGTAGAGCCAAATCAGGGTGGGAATGGCAGCCCCGTGGAAGGGGTGGAGACCTGGCCTGGGGACTCAGAGCCCAAGGGGCAGTTCAGCATAGAGTGGAGAAACCCGAGCTGAGTAGGCCAGGCACTTGTGTGTGCAGGTGATTTAGCCAGAGCAGAGAGAGGAGGAATCCACATTTCGGGGGACTTGCGTGGAATGTCAGAGCCAAGAAGGAGGTTTTTATGGAGGTATAGCTTGCCATGAGTATTAAAGTTCAAAGGGGTGAGGAGAACAGCCATGTGGTGAGGGATGGCAGCAGAGATGGGAGATGGGTTATACACAGAGGACATCCTCAGATACGTGGCTGATTTCAGGGCTGGGAAAGAAAAGTACAAGATGAGCTTGGAACATCTTCTTCCAGAAAGAAAATGATCAAATGATGATGTTGACATGTCAAACAGAAGGGTTGCCAGCTTAAGGAGTTTTCACTGGCCACGGTGGGGACAATTTCAGCAATACATAAGAAATTATAGTATATAATAATCCGATGAATAGAAAAATCATGAGCTCAGACTAATATAAAAATGTCTATATAAAAACAACCAAAATGTTCTAAAATATTTAAGTGAGCAGTTAAACTGTGGTGCATCCACACCACAGATTACTCAGCATAAAGCAGAGGAAAAGACCATTAATGTAACAACATGGATGATCTCAAGGGCATCATCTGAGTGGAAAAAGATCATCTCTAAAAAATCACATAATGTATGGTTTCATTTTTATAGCATTCCCAAGATAAATTATAGAGATGGAAAACAGATTAGTGATGTCCAGGAGTTTGGAAGAATGGAGTGGCAGGAGCAGAGTGCAGGTGTGAATATAAAGGGGCAGCATGAAGATCTTTGTGGTGATGGAACAGTGCTGCATCTGGATTGCAAAGGTGATTCCATGAATCTACACATGTGATAAAACAACATACAACTACACATACGTGGTACCAATGTCAATTTCCTGGTTTTGATATGATACTATAGTTATGGAAGACTGCAACCATTGGGGAAAATTGGGCTAAGGATGCACAGCACTTCTCTGTACTATTTTTGCAACTTCCTGTGAATCTATAATTATTTCCAAATTACAAATTTGATAAATACAGAATGTTTAATGATTAATGAGATATTTACATAGTTTCAAAACACCTCCTCACAAAATAAGACTAACTTTAAAGTGAAAAAGGTTGGCAGTCCCACCGTAGCAAGTGATCAAAGTGAATACCATTAGAAATAGAATAAATCAAATCTGCCCTCATGTAATAGGATGCAATGAGTGGAAAACAGCATCACTTTTGTTATTCCTGCCAACGATGCATATCTGGATCTAATCAAAAGGAAACAGACAAATGCAGATCAAGACATACACTATAAAACAACTGGCCTGTAATCTCCAAACATGTCATGGTTATAAGTCACAGAAGCACCAAGAAACTCTTCTTCCAGACTGAAGGAGCCATGGCAACTAAATGTAATTCATGATTCTCAGCTGGGTCCTTTCACTAGAAGAGACGTTACCGAGACTACTGGTGAAACTTGAATGGGACCTGAGGATTGTATGGCAGTAATACGACAACATTAATTACTAGACTTATTGGTTGCATTGTGGTTATGCAAAGGAATGTCCTGTTTGTAAGAAATGTACACTGAATCCTTAGGGGTGATAGAACATCAGGTTGGCAACTGACCCTCAAACAGGTCAGAAAACTAAGTTCTTTGTACTGTACCTGCAACCCTTCTATAAGTTGACTATTGTTTCAGACTAATTTTTTAAATTTTAAAAATGAATGGCCAGGCACAGTGGCTCACGTCTGTAATCCCACCACTTTGGGAGGCCAAGGTGGGCGGATCATGAGGTCAAGAGATTGGGACCATCCTGGCCAACATGGTGAAACCCCGTCTCTACTAAAAATACAAATTTAGCCAAGCGTGGTGGTGGGCACCTGTAGTCCCAGCTTTTCAGGAGGCTGACGCAGGAGAATTGCTTGAACTCGGGATGTGGAGATTGCAATGAGCCGAGATCATGCCACTGCACTCCAGCCTGATGACAGGGCGAGACTCTGCCTCAAAAAAAAAAAAAAAACAAACAAAAACAAAAAAGATTTGAAAGTGAAAATATGAAAAATCTTTGACAAAACTGAGGAAATCTTAGAATGCCTCTGCAAAAAATGGCCCTCTTTACAATCAGGCCTCAGAAGTCACATTTGACAGAAGTGACATGCACTGTCTACAAAAATCTTAAATGTGGAGACCTCCTTGGTTCATTCTACAAATTAGCACTCTTCCAATTAACAACAAACGGTTAAAAAGACTAAAAATTAAGCATTTTATTCCCTTTTTTGAAGAAAATTTCCAGCCAGAACATTTCTGGCTTTTACTGGGAAACACTAGATTTCACTCTAAATTAGTGTACTCTATGTGGCCTATGCCCAGGATCAATTATCCTTGCAAAACAAGGACCTCCCACCATATGTACTTGCTAGTAGTATTGCCAAGCACAGGCCTGCTCTGCTACTGCAGAGGTTCCTGTCCCAGCCCAGGTCCAACAGGACTGGCAGGAAGATGTAGCCAGGTGGCTCATCATGAGAATGATGTGATGACACCTACTGGACAAGGATCAATGAAGATTCAGCGCAAATAAGATTTTCACCTTGATACCAGCATTTGCAGATGCATTACTGTTATTAACTTAGATAGTCAGGTTCCAGGTCTAGCTCAGGTCATTTCTTCACTCATTTTTATTTTTGAGACAGTGTCTTGCTCTGTCACCCAGGCTGAAGTGCAGTGGCATGATTTCAGCTCACTGCAACCTCCCCTCCCAGATTCAAGCGATACTCCTGCCTCAGCCTCCTGAGTAGCTGATTATGGGTGCCTGCCACCACACCCAATTTTTAGTAGCAATGGGGTTTCACGATATTTCCCAGGCTGGTCTCAAACTCCTGATCTCAGGTGACCCACCGCCTCTGCCTCCCAAAGTGTTGGGATTAAGGCATAAGCCACCATGCCTGGCCCCGCTCTTTTGTTGCTGTTGTTCCTAGTCATTCCACGTCAGCTCATATAGTAGCAACAGGAATTCTGTCTCCTATGGGTTGTCTGGCCAGGGAAATCTTACATCTCAAGTGGTCAGAATATGAAAATCTAGACTGAGCATATGCACAAATGAATGCTTAGAACACATTTATCAAACCAGAAATGGAAGCCAAGGCTGCCCCCAACCCTGGCTCTCCCCACCCCCAGCCAGCAGGAAGCCTGGTGGACCTCAAATCAGAGCACAGCATTGGTGAGAGCCAAGTGAGAAAACTCAAAACACTGGCTACAGACAAAGCTGGAATGCCTGCAGCTTATTATTGCTCATTAATCAAAGTTGACTGCTCATGAGTCAAGAAAATTTGATATCTGTCCAAGTGACATGACAGGTATTATGCCAGATACTTTGCTGACATGATATCATTTGAAGTTACTTATCTTATATACAAGGTAAGTACAATTATTATACCCATTCCTCAGATGGGGAAACAGAGGATTAGAGGAGTTCAGTAGCTCATGCAAGGTTACACAGCTAGCAAGTGGTAAAACCAGGGTTTAAACCTCAGCAGTCTGTCTCCAGAGACTACTCTCAGCTGCTCCCCTAAACTGCCTTCCTCCAACTACCATTCATGACTCCACAGTGCTCACTGTTCCTTGTATCACACCATGCAACATGTTTGTTACAGCATGCTTGCATCACATTCCTATACATCTTTCTTATTTCAATAGTAATCGTGTTGCAGGGTAGGATAGAGCAGGGGGCCTCATGTATGTATACTAGTCCACAGCAAGAACAAAAAGTCCACTTCTGGACTTAGAGAAGCACGCTGCTACTTCCAGCTGTTTCTTTAGTTGACAAAGTAATAAGAGACAATAAACACCTTTGTTATTTCACTTAAAATGTTGCCTTACAACCAGCACTGCCCCACTCCTCCCCACACCCGCCACCACCAAAAAAAGGTAACACCATGCATGCATCTTTATGTATGTCAAGCTACTTACTTTTTCTGGGGACCATTGAGTCCAGAAAACCTTTTGGTGAGTTAAATAGGATTATTTAAAAGATAAACTTAGGTCTGTATTGGGTGGTTCTGGAGGAATTTCCCCTTCCCAGGAGCTGCTTACCAGTTAATTTAGAAACAAAATAATCTCCCAAACTGTTAAATCCCACTGCCCCACCCAGGGGCTTTCATAAAATTATCTTGTTTTCATCATGTTTTAGCATGGAAAAATGACCCATACCTAGAAGTATACATTTTAAGGTTTTTGATATCTGTATGGCTATTTAAGAAGAAATATTTTACCAGACTTCTGGTTGGGGACATGACTCCAGTTGTAGACAACACTCTCTGGCGACATGAATGTGTCGGCTCACCACTGCCACCATCTGCCCAAGGCTCTTCCTCTTCATTCTTCAAGCTGAAAGCACAGCTGATACCTTGGATGATGTTTCTTGATAGCTCTCTAGTGGAGGATATATGTGGTTCAGAAGTGCTGCTACTATAGCTCTGCTCATCTGGGTCTTGTTTCTGGAAACCATATTTAGTTGTCAAATGGTATAATATGACAGAAAGATTTTGATGACTTAAATCAATATATTCAAAGTTTTATTGATGAGGTTTCATTTAAGTGATAAAGGCAATGCTTAAGTTATTATGGAGAGAAAAGCATTATTCAATTGACCGTATTTTGTTCTCCTATAATCTTAAAATGTTATGCAATAGCCAACTGCTTTAAAAATATGGCATGGAATAGATCCTATATTTTACAATGAATAAAGCACTTCTGTTACACAATTAACATGCAAGGAAAAACTAAGGTAGCCACCTGCACATGTTCAAACACTGTGACCACATCACAACCCAAGCATCCAGTTTGGCCAGTAGGATAATCCACTCCCACCATTGCAGAATGTAGCTTCCTAGCAGTAACCTGGCTAGGACTAACAAAGAGGAAAAAAACATTCAAAGGTCCTATGCTATGCCTGGCTATTTCTGCCCCAAATTTCTAGGATAATTGTTTCTTTTCTCTCTAGTGTCGCTCCTTCTGTTCCTAAACATGATCAAATTTCTACTTAGGAAAGACCTTCACTTGATCTAACAGCTTTTCTTTCTGCCTTTTTTTGGGTGGGGTGGGTGGGGATTCTTTCCACTCTTGGACTTCTAGGTTAAATGAACTTGAAGTTGGCCGCCTTTCTCTGAATCTGTGTGGTTTCCAGATATTTACCAATAATGCACTCTCAATCTCCTCCAAGTTGATGCCCAGCCCACTTCTCTTTCACTTTTCCCAGACCTGGCCTTCTTCAGGCTCTCTGTAAGCCTCTCACCTTTGGTTTCCCAAGGTTCTCTCCTCCTCAACTTTACAACCCCATTGTGTTCCTCTTCTTGCCACGTTCTAATGATGATTCCTTCCTCCTAACAGAGTTGCTTAGGGCTCACTTCTAAGGCCTTTTCTCTCTTCCTATTTTGTCTCCCCAGATGACTGATTCATTTTCAGCCCATCAGTGTTTGCCTCTCCCTGGAACAAGTCCATAAAACCAGCCCACACTTCACAATGCCTGATGGACACTTCTGAGCTATCCCACTCAGAATGGTGGTGGCACTATGATGCTTCACAATTTACACGGCCATTTGTATCCTTCCTGCTGAAGAGTTGCAAAACCCCATGAGACCGGTATCATCAGACCATTGCTGAGCTCTTCAGCTGGCCTCCTAAGAGAGGTCCCTTGGGGAAAAGAAATGCCTCTTCCTTCCTGTGTCATGCCTGATGTGCATTCTGCTATAGGGAAACAACAAAAGTGCTTTTAGGAAAGCCTCCTCCTAAGTACAGCTATAGAAATCCTATCAAAGATTCAACAGTCAGGAGGAGCTAGGTGCCCTGGATGGCGAGCAGAGGCAAGTAAAGTTGGTCAGGGACTCAACTCCAAAGCTCATATAGATCTGGGCTCAAATCCCAGTCCTGACATTTCATAGCTGTGTGGCCCTTAACTATATTTCGGTTTCTTTCTCTGTAAAATGAGGGTCAGAAAAATAGCTCAGAGGATTCTTATAAACATTAACTGGAAAGTATACATATATCACTTGGCAGTGTCTGGTACATAGAAAAGGCCTACTAAATGGTGGCTATCATCATTCTAAAATCTTACACCTTTACCTCTGAGTCTTCAGCTTCTTCCAAAACATGACTGAGAACCTGTATATATTCAGTTGCGCCTTTAAGGATATCAACTTTGCTGGGCTTCCTGCTTTGGGGAAGAAATGGCACAAGTGCCTTCAATTTGGCAAAACCACGGTTGAGATTTTTTATCTAGAAAACAAAAAGCACAGTGACACAGAAAAGCCAGTTTATAGAGACATCTCCCCAAACTACTGAAGGGGGTTGTTTCCACAGCCTTCTTGCCTGGGCGCAAATCTAAACAGGCATATGCCCCAAAGAGTCACTGCTCCACCAGCAGTGCAATTCATTGCAAAGGAAGAGAAAATGGCATAAACTTGGCACTATGGGCAGATGGGCTGCAAGGTGTGTTCATGTTCATGCTGACCTCACTCCTCTTCCTGTGAGAGCATAACCACTGTATCATAATGCAGAGGCAGTAGAGGAGTGAGTGGCTGAAATCTGAGTCAACTACACCCAGATTTAAAATTCAGGTCTATCATTTACAAGAGTGTGTGGAATACTTCACATCACTAAGCCTCAGTTTGTTCATCTGCAGAGTGGGAAATATCTTAAAGCTTTTTGGGGGGTGTGATTAAGTGATATAATGTACACATAAGACACCTAGAAAGCCCTCAAGAAGTGGTATTGCTGCTGATGAATCAAATGTGCAAACACCTGTCAACTCAAGCACTGAGCCATCAGCTCCTACAACCTCTTTCCCCACTGAGTTAATGATATAGAGGCAAAGGTGAGAATCCAGAGAGCTGGTGAGACTTCCAAGGTTTCTCACATTTTTCTCTTCTCCAGAGTCGAATTCCTGTCCCTGAAGGTCTATAATTCTGAGGGTCATCCCCCTGGGAGACATAGGCCCTGGGAGAGCTGGCTTCCACTATACCACAAAGCCAATATACATTGAGTATACCCTACTCTGGAGCAAAAGACAAAGGACATAGTTGGCCAATTCATAGGAGAATACAACAACCAGACAGTGTATAAAAAGAGTTAAATAGTCAAAGAACTACAAACTAAAACAGAAATTAGATACCATTTTTCATATATCAAAGAGGTTAACATTTGTATCATACCCAGGATCGTGGATAGCATGAAAAATAGAACAGTCCTAGACATGTAAGGGGGAAAAAATTAGTAAACCTATCTAGAAAGCAATTGGGTAATGTGTATCAAAAGCCATTCGATTGCATGTGTCCTAAGTCCCAGTAATTTCGCTTGTAGCATTTTATTCTAAGGAAATTATCAGACACACACAGTTACACCAATAGTTAGATACCAGTAAGAAGCTACAAACAGCAAACATGCCTAACAATAAGAGACTGAATACATTATGGTCCATTTTTAGACCAACTATGCAGTCAAAAACTGTTCTTTGAAAGAATACTTAAGAATATAAGAAAATGCTTTTGATAATGTTAAGTGGAAAAAAATTACCAAAATTTTATAAAAACTAAATGAAAATTTTATAAAATTATGTACAAATATATTTATATAAAAACATTTTACAAAATTTAAATTATATATAGATTTAATTATATATAAATTTATATAAATATATTTATATATTATATAATTTTACAAAATTATTCAGTACATATTTATGTTTATATATTAAATTTTGTAAAATTATATAATTTTACAAAATTGCCATTCAGTACATACATTATAGTTTTGCAAAATTATATATGAATGTATATATATATAATTTTACAAAATTGTCATTCAGTACATATTTTTGTAATTTCTTCCACTCAACATTATCAAAAGCATTTTCAGACATATATATGAATACACACAACTAGAGAAAAAGACTGGGAAGATATATACAAAAATGTTCATAGTAGTTATATCTGTGTTGTATCTTAACCTCTTCAGTCATGTCTATCTTTTCCAGGTGTGTTAACCTTATCATTATAAAGAACAATAAAGCTTATTAGTGTTTTAGTGGATAAAACCAGGACTGATTTTCTGGAGAAGACAATTCCTTTCTGGTGGGAAGGACCACTTAAAATATTAGATCACAGACCGGGCACAGTAGCTCACACCTGTAATCCCAGCACTTTGGGAGGCCGGGGCCGGTGGATCACGAAGTCAGGAGTTCAAGACCAGCTTGGCCAACATAGTGAAACCCCCGTCTTTACTAATAATATAAAAATTAGCCGGGTGTGGTGCATGCCTGTAGTCCCAGCTACTTAAAGAAGTCTCCTGTCGTTCTTTCTTCTCTTGCCCTCTTCCTGCAAAGTTCCTGCTTGCTTCACTGGGGCATTTCTAAAAGGCCTTAGGTGCCTAGGAACAGCCCTCGGCGGAACTTCCCTCCCCAGTCCCAGGCCTAATTGTGCGCTCTGCTCCCTCTTCCACCCCTCACCCTTCCCTCTCCTGGATTCGCCTCTGCTGCAACTAACCCCGGAGAATGCAAATTCTAGGAACCAAGACCACGTCTCCCAAGCTTGAGGCCGAGTTTCGTTAGCGATAGTAAAATCCACCAGCAGGTGCCGCTCCAACCACGGCCCACGGGGACCCTTCCCGTTTGCGACTCGCTGCGGCCCGGCCGGGGAACAGTCATTTTATATTGACAGTTGAGTGGGACTCTTGGGTGCACACTGGGACGTCGTGTTTTGTGACTTTAAAGTAACTTCCGTCAGGCCCCACTTTCTCCTCACCCTCGTGTCTGCTTCGAGGCCGAGATGCAGAAGGCAAGAAAAAGGAGCGAAGGGGATTCCCGCGCGCCCCAAGCACCCACCCGCGCCTACGGTGTGAGGTGAAAGCGCACCTCCCGCGCGTGAAGCTTGTAAAGCACCTGCCCAGGGAGACATTTTGGAAGTTGTCAAAACCCCTCTTCTGTCCCCTCCCGGACCCGGTCCCTGCACAAATCCCTGAGGGTTAGCGGATGAGGCGGCGGCATGAGCAGCAGAGAAAGGAGGCCACTGCCATTCTCCAGACCCTCTGGGGGCGCGGGAGGCCCCGGGAGCTGCAAGTCGCCTAGAGCGGGCCCCGGTGTTGACAAGGTGTTTGGTGGTGAAGCGGGGACGTGGGGGGCGGGCGTCGACCCCGGGGACCCCTCACCCGCTCGCGCTCCTTAGCGTTGGCCACGCGCCTTCGCTCCAGCACCAACTGGAGGTCTTCGGTGGAAGAGTAGCCGCCCGAGGGCAGCCGTTTGAGCCGGCAGATGGCGGCCAGCTGGGGCAGCGGCCCGAACTCCTCCCGCAACACCTCCTCCAGCACCTCCGCCTGCGGGACGCCCAGGAGCGCGGGCGTCGCCGCGCGGAGATCCAGAGTGCCAGGCGCCGGGTCCATGGTGGGGCGGAGGCTGCAGAGGCCGGGCTTTCACTCGCTCACCTGGGGCCGCACGAGGCCCGGGCGGGGGCGGGGGCTGGACCACCTGCGCCCATTCCCGGTCCGTTTATTCCAATCCCCGCCAGCTCTGTGGAGGCTGCGTGCAGGCGTCGCGTTGAACCAGCCGCACAGGTGCGAATCAGGAGCGCTGGCACACTGGAACCGCCCGGGGAGTGGTGGCGGTGTTTTTCCCGATCCACATGCCAGGGTTCCAGTCCCCCAAATTCCCGTTTCATCAGTTCGGGTTGGGGCCTGAGCTTCTGAATATGTGTATACAAAAAATTGTAATGGATATCCACAAAACTTTTTTAAAAATTCATTTTGAAAAGTTGCGGGTAAAATGGCAAGAAGAGTTTCAAAGAGCTCCTGTGTCACCTTTGCCACGCTACTTGCTAACTTTTCACGTTTGCTGCATCGCCCTCTTTCTCGCTGTGAATATTCTTTTTTATTATTCTTTTCACATTCTATTTGAACTATTCTTTTTTTTTTTTTTTGCAGGGGAGGAATACATCGTTTTATTCATTTTCCCCTTTCCCACACAGACCTTTATTGTCAACACAACCAAACACAGTTGTTACTTCAAAAAATGTGCTGGAAAATAGCGATCCCAAACTTATTTAACAGAGAGTACAATTTAATACTTTAGAAATTCTATAACTAGCTACAGCTTCTGTTTGACTAGATTACTCATGAGAGTTTGTTTCTCTGGAGGTTATCAATATAACTGGAACATTCTGCTCTTGCAACTGGAAATCAGACATGTTTCTAGAAGACCTCTGTAAAATCCTTCCAAGTGTAGAAATACATTTTTTTGTTTGTTTGTATGGGTAAATTGTGTGTCCCAAGGTATGGTGTACAAATGATCCTGTCGCCTATGTGAGCATAGTACCCAATAGGTATCCTTCCAACCCCTGCCCCCGTCTTACCTCCCCCTCAAGCAGACCCCAGTGTCTATTGCTCCCATATTTGTGTCCCTGTGTGTTCAATGTTTAGCTCCCACTTATAAAGTGAGAACATGCGATGTTTGGTTTCCTATTCCTGTGTTAGTTCCCTTACGATAATAACCTCTAACTGCATTCACTGATCTATATATTTTTTTAAGTTTTAAAGTTGCAGACATGCTGTCCCATCACCTCTAAATACTCCAGTAGGTATTCCCCCTAAACACGGCCACTCTTCCACACAACCACAACACACTACTCAAATTAGAAAGTAAGCATTGATACTGTGCCACTATCCAATCTATGGACCCCATTCAAGTACCACCAGCTGTCTCAACAATGTCTTTTTCCTTTCTGGTTGGAATCCAATGCAGGAGTACAAGTTTTATTTTGTTGTCAGATTTCTACTGTCCTTCATTCTGGACCATTTCCTCCATCTTGTCCTGTCTTCATGTTCTTGACAGTTCAAAAGAGTAAGGGCCTTTCATTCTGTAAGATGTCCCTCGCCCTGGGTCTGTCCACCATCTGCTCATGTCCAGACCCCATCCATGGGGGGGCTCATGGAGGGGCTCCATAGAAATGATGCTGGGCTCTTCTCAGTGCATCACATCAGGAAGTACATGAGGTGGATCTGCCCCATCACTGGTGATGTTAACCTTAATCACCTGGTCGAGGTGATGGTGTCAGGTTTTTTCACCATAAATATTTTGTGAGGAGATACTCCTCATTCATTGTTGATGCCTGCCTGAATCAACCACCACCCTGATTATTGCCAAATGATTGACATTCTACTGTGAAGAAAAGCTTTCTCTTCTTCCCATTTATTTATTTTGTATGTATGTCAGCATGGGCTCATGAATTTCTGTTTTATTCACAGGATGTCATTTATTCACATCATTATTTTAATGCTGAAATTGTCCCAGATTTGGCCTATGAGAGCCCCTCCAAGTTGCCCCTCTGTCCTTTTCATATGACCCCCTCATTCTTTGTGTACTTTCTTACTTGTACCAAGAAGGCTTTTCTTGAATTTTCCCAACCCCAGCCCCAGTCTAGGGATCAATCTAGTCTTCTTTTAGTGGAAGTTAGGATTTAGAAACCAAGATCTATATGCTTGGTTGCTCATTCCTTTTGGGATGTCATTGCTTCTAAGCCCTTTTTGAAGTTATGACATATATGTAGGTAAGCACACATGCATATAATACATAAAGCTATACCTGTGTATCTAAGTACATATGCATATATATTTATTTAAAACCATGAGTTCACACTAATATCTCAAATTCCAACCCAACATCTCTAGTTTCCCTGCTTTCCTTTTTTGTAACTCCTCACCCTGTATCTGCTTTTGTAACTCCCTTCTCCAACAATGAGAAACTTGGCTCACATTACCCTCAGTGTAATTACTTATTTGCTCAGTCCCTGTACATAACCAGTTTCCTAACCACATCAGCCACCTCCTTGGCCCCATCTCTTCCTCAGCTCCCACTCTGACATTGCCTCCCAGGAAAGGTCAAAGGAAAGAAGGGGACACACCAAACTTTTGACTGAGGTTCTTTGAGCATGGCTTGGGAATGGGGAAGTATGACCTGCACATCACATCCTCTATATTGCTTATTTCACAATAAGCATGGGTCACTTCTGTAATTTAACATATATTTTTAAGTAGGAAAATACTTTGCTCTAAGTTCATTTGGTGTCATCTGCTGGCAGGCAGATGGAAGGCAATAAGGGCCAATTGTGGAGGAACAAAGCTTAAAATAGAGCTTACCCGTTTACTTAACTTTCCTTGAAAGCATCATAAAGGACATCATTGATATTATTCTATTTTATTGCCAAACCCTGCAGTGAACAAGGTGGTGTACATTAGGAACCCAGTGTTAGCACACCAGATTTGATTCCTTCATATCTGTGTTCTTTTATAAACTCCGACTCTTAACTCTCTGGCCTCTGGTCTGTTAGATTCATACATTATGTCATTGGTCTCAGGAAAAGTAATCAGGTGAACTGATTTAAGCTACAGCGCTACACCTGAGAGTGGTTTAATACTGATACCTTGTCAAACACCCAATTATACAGTGGCCTAATGAACAAAAAGTTTCTCTATCATCTAACAGTGTGAAAGGTGTAGGTCAGCTCTGCTCCTCATGGTCACTTGGGGACTTAGGTTCCTTCCAAATAATTGTTCTCCATCCCCTAGGGCCAACTCCTTTAGGGAATTATCATTGGCATGGCTGAGGCTGGGTCACCACCAGGTCTGGGTTCCAGGCAAGAGAGGAGGAGAAGGGCATGGAAGAGATCTTAAGGCCTGACCAGAGGTGGCACATAGGATTCAACTCACATTCCATTGGCAGGAATTTACACATGGCTACACACAGATGCAAGAAAGGATGGGGAATGTCATCTAACTGGGCAGTCTTGTGCCTGGCTACAATTCTGTTCAATGGGGAGAACACTTTTGGTTGACAATAGGAGTCTGTCCCAGTGCCCCTCCTCTGTGCTCCAGTAGGGCCTATAAAGCCCCTGTGAGATCACTTATTTCAGCTCCTTGAAGGAGGATCATTGGCCATGGTATCTCCAGCACCTATGGAGTGCTTGGCTCACAATAGACATCCAATAAACATTTGTTGAATGAGTGAGAAAGCAAATGAATGAATGATGCTTGGAATGAAGTTAAAAAGCTACTTTGACATGGGTAAAACAAGAACCTACTTATTCAGGTAAAACTTTCATGTTTTGCCACAACTACTTGACTCTATAATATATATTCATGAATAGGCCGGGCACGGTGGCTCAAGCCTGTAATCCCAGCACTTTGGGAGGCCGAGGCGGGTGGATCACGAGGTCAACAGATCGAGACCATCTTGGTCAACATGGTGAAACCCCGTCTCTACTAAAATTACAAAAAATTAGCTGGGCACAGTGGTGCGTGCCTGTAATCCCAGCTGCTCGGGAGGCTGAGGCAGGAAAATTGCCTGAACCCAGGAGGCAGAGATTGCGGTGAGCCAAGATCGTGCCATTGCACTCCAGCCTGGGTAACAAGAGTGAAACTCCATCTCAAAAAAAAAAAAAAAAATATATATATATATATATATTCATGAATAAATAAATAGATGAATGAAAAAGCTTACCTAAGATTCCATAGAAAGTAGGAAGATCTCAGCTCATGCCTGTAATCAGCACTTTGGGAAGCTGAGGTGGACATATCACCTGAGGTCGGGAGTTTGAGACCAGCCTGACCAACATGGAGAAACCCTGTTTTTACTAAAAACACAAAATTAGCTGGGCGTGGTGGCACATCCCTGTAATCCCAGCTACTGGGGAGGCTGAGGCAGGAGAATTGCTTGAACCTGGGAGGCGGAGGTTGTGGTGAGCCAAGATCATACAACTGCACTCCAGCCTGGGCAACAAGAGTGAAACTCTGTCACCCAAAAGAAAAAAAAAGAAGAGAAAAAAAGGAAGTAGGAAGATCTCTCTGCCATGGAAAATTGGAAGATAAGTATCCCTTTAGATGCTGGTGTTATACACAGTTCTGGCTCAGTTGCATTCATCCTTCAGTGCTCTATGGGTCTAGCAGGGAGTTTTCCTTTCCAGACTGACTAAAGTATGTGAACATCTTTAGGTCCCAGAATGCATTGCTCTCCTTGTGTTTGCTATTCCTGCTTAGTGCTCTCTCTTTGTGGGACCAGATCTCTTGGGATGCAACTGATGACATCCTCTCTTTACTGCTTTTTTGTTTTCTGAGTTCTAATACCTTGTAGCCCAGTACAATGCCAGCTGGATGGAGTCCATCCTTGGAGTAAGGATGAGGACGCATAGGTATCTCAAAACCCAATGCCCCTGAAGAAAGGGAATCCCTGTCTAGTTTGCTGGTTGATACAGATGCTAGGTCTCCGAGTCAACAATGCAAAAAGCAGTGTAAGGCTAAAGGAACTTTTACCGATTTCTTATCCAGCAGAGTTGTTCTGTTTCAAAAAGCAAGACACGTGTTTGCTTCAAATCATGCTTCTGATTTCAGCTCCATGACTATTACAGGTAGTCAGTAAAATGTCTCTGGCAATCTGGCAATTGAGTTACTACCTGTCTTGGTCTCTGCTGCTGCTGCTGTCAGTTTTGCCTTTTTCTGTGTGTTATTAGGTATTTTAGAGGGAAAAGAGAAGATTCTTGGTCAAATGCCATGTTAAAGAGAAAGTGCCCCTAATACTGGCTTTAAATAACACATTTTTTTCTCATTTAAAATTAAGAAAGCTATTTTTTCACTTAGGGGGAGTTAGAAGGCATGCATAAGAAGGAACTTTTCACCT